GATATATAAACGGCAAAAGTGGGGCATGACTACAATGCTTTGAGTATTTCAATAAAGAAAATTTTTATATATTGAAATTGAAACCGGTAAAAAATATTTTCACTCTTATTCGTCATCTTTCGGATAGTAAATTTGGAATATCTGAAAAAGAATATTCTCGAATATAAACAAAGATTATAGTCGAGTAAGAGATCTTGTTAAAATTAATTTTTTATCGTATATACATACGATTGTATTACGCTAATCGTCCACATTTTGTTAGTAGATTTCGCAAGGACAAGTGAAACTAAAGAAACATTTTATTGCAATTTCATCTATTTCATTGAAGAGAATAAAATACAAGTAAAAGGTGAGTTAATAAATAATTAATTCTAAATGTGTGTCTTTCGAGTGGAAATTTCCACCGAACGAATATCGAACATGCCCCAATTTAGAGTCGTTGATTATATAATTGGAAATCATAGGCAATATTTCTACAATACCTAACCGTTCAAAAGCCTCAGATTCAAGATAATTCAATATAGAGTTTATTTTAAATTCATTTTCACTTTCTAAAGGTAGAATTATTTAATTACATTAAAGAGAGAGAGAGAGAGAGAGAGAGAACAACGTAACGTTTAGTTCTATATTTAGGAAAATAAATATCTTCTTTAAGACAATGCCTAATCATTTCTGGTTATTTGATAGCAATGCTAAAGAATCTTATAAGGCCTACAGTTTTCTTTTGTATATAAACACATTGTTCATATTATTATTTATTACCAATTCAGAAATTAATCGCTCTAAAGATGTTGGGAATCCATAGTCTGATGAAAAATCAACCGTCAAAAACATGGCAAGTTTGGATAAAGCATATTATGAAACAAAAAGACAATTTTAAACTGGCTAAAGCTGGTTTATTTAAATTGAACGGAAATGTTGTATCATCTACTTCCGGTTTTACGATGCCACAAAAAGAAATAACGGTAAATAATTTCCATACAAAATATTTTGATGGTCTTTCTTAAAATTTATAATTATTAAGAAGTAATCTATACGAATTTCTCGCGAAATTGATTTGCGTCAGATATGATAACGATTAAAAGTACGCTGTTTATCAAAATTTTATAAATTAGATAAAGTGAAAGCTTAAAAAAAAGCACCTTTTTAGAACTTGGCCTTTTATATTAATTTGTTCATAATCCTTTAGGTCATCGATAAAGTAGGTTGAAGAAAGAAACCACTAGATAATTACTTTAAAACAGCTTATTTACTAGTTAAAAACCAAAATAAAGAAAATAAATAACAAAAGGAAATAGAAAAGTAAATTTCCTTTATCCTTATCTGTTTGATAAATTTAGAATAGTTTTGTTAATCTCTTACAACTACCTCCTTCTATTCTTGATTTACCAATAACAAAAAAATTACGTAATCTTTTGCTTGTTTTTTTTAATGATCAGTTAATTTTTTTTAATACTTGTTAAAGAATAACATTTGATAAGTTATTAAAACAATATTAAATTCCTGCCTCTACTTAACCTTGTAATAATTGCAGGATACTGCGATGCTTTGTTGTCAAATTTGACCTAAATACATAAATAACATACGATATCAGTGGTAGTTAAAATAAAATAATGTGTACTTCTTTTCACTTAATATTCATGTTTTAGTTTTTAAGTGTTTCACATTCTATGCTCGTGATTTATTCCTGATATTTCCATGACGTAGTCACTATTTAGAATAAATGCGAATATTTTGTAATACGATTAGCATAATAAAGGCTTTTATTAGAGAACGAAAAAATGTGAAATTCTTGTGAATAGATGGCAGAGTTTTATTCATTTTTACCTGTTTCCTTTGTCAAACATTGTAGAAAAACTATTTCATAGTTTTTTTTTTTTTGTAAAACTCCAGACAATTTTCATTTCAGATCTATTGCATTTATTTCTAATTTTAATATGGTCTGATATTATATTGTATATGTAGGCCTCTAATTCGTATTAAAACTATTGTTAAAGTCTAGACAATCATACTTAAACTATTTGGCAATTGTCAGTTTTCTCCATAATTTTCTAGATAATTCCAACAACAATTATCTAAAAGGATAAAGTATTTGTAGTAGAATATATATATAAACTTTTATGTACACATGGACTTTAAAACTAAATCTTTGACGTCAGTACAAAACACGAGTATTTACTTTCAAAACATTGACATTAGGAAAACTTCTGTTACTAAATCGCTAGGCTGAAACAGCAGAAGTGAAGCATCATTTTTTCATTCAGCTATTCATCCATCTATCAATGAATTTTTTTTTAAGTTTATAGATTAAATCCGACTGACGCACGTAGACCATACGCTATAGGATAATACCAATAATGTATACATATATATATATACATGTACATACATACAACCCTGGAGCTTAATTGTCTATTAATCGATCAATCAATTATTTATTCGTCTATTCAATTAAACTAATAGCATTTATTTTTTGCTTTTTCTAACAGATTCTAAGCAAAACTTTCGAAAAAGGATTGCAAGATCTTCCAGTAGATAGCCTTACCCTAGATGGAACTACCTACGTTATTAGGGAAAGAGACGAACGCCAATTAATAGCCTTCAACGGATCGAAATACTTTATCGTTTCAAAGTCGAGAACATTTATATTAGTAGTTGTGTGCGAAAGCCGAGCGAGAAGTACAGATGCCGCTTTATGGTTAAGAAAATTAACAACCCGTTTAATAGAGAAGGATTTCTAGCCTATTCTTTTCTACATCTTCTTCCGTTTCTTTTTCTTCAGTCTCAAATCTCACGCTATATAGATATTGCAGAAATGAAAAAAGAGAAAGGAATAATGATTGACAAACAAAATGAATCGATCTGCTGTTTTACATTTTGAAAACTGTTGAATCTTGTTTTTGTTATTATTTTTTTCGCTATACATTTTATGAAGTTATTGTTTGATAGAATAATTTTTATATACTTCTTGTTTATTATATGCAAATGTATTGTTATTAAAAGTTTCGAGTTATTTTTAGCTGGTGTTTGTAAGCTAAGAGAAAAAGTTTTATTATGGTACTTTTTCTGTATTGTTTTTACTCTTTGCTTGTGTTTCAAGTGAAAACTAAATTCCAGCCTCCTAAAAGACTTTCGTGGAATTTCACAGAAAATGATAAATGGCTATATATATATATTTATTATACATTTATATGAGGAGTTATTGCGCAATACTAAAGCACTTTTTTATTTATTGTGACTATATATATACATATATATATATATATAGTATATGTCAGTTACCTAAAGATAAACAATAAACCTTTTGCTATGTTTCATAATAAAGAAAAACAACAATATATTATCTTAAAAGTTGAAAGTATCCTTTTTGATACTTAATCATTAATTTTGTTTTTTCTCCCCCCTTCTCTGTCTCCTAAGATTTGTTGTTATTATTGCTCATCATTCTAATATCTGTTGTAATATTGGGTTATAACCAGTCTTATCAGTTACCTTTTAAATCTTTACTTACACCGTTATTTCATCATTAAACAGAATGAACTATGACCTTTGGTGTTTGATTTTCTTGCTATTGAATTTCTCATTTCTATTTTTCAATTTAAAACAATATACGTGTTTATGCTGGCTTTATAGCTGCGTTTATGTATAAATTTGTACGTTTCCGGTATATAACCCAAAAACGGGACAGCCAAACGTCCTTCAAACATTATCCAATGAAAAAAGATGAGTAAAATTTGTTGTAGCAGCAGAAATAAAAGCCAGATGTCGCTACTAGGTGAATATAAATATTTTATAAAATTAAGAAATTAAAGTATACACTCATTATTACGATAACGCTCTATTACAGATAATCGTATGAAGACTATATGACACATTGTTAAGTAAGGAATTATTAAAATCAATTTGACCTTTGAGAATGTCGTTATTTTTCTTTTTAATTATAACGTCATATTTCAAATTGAACAAGTTAGAGGCAATTAAGACTTTCAAATTGTGTTGTATTACTCAATATTATTCTTAAATTTCCAGGAAATTTCCCCCAAAAATATAACCGAATGGCTGAAAACAAGAACGTTTACATAAACTAGCAAACTAAGCTACAAGTTGTTTAAATATCTCGGCGTACAACGATTCTTTTTCTTTATTCATTTAGCAAATATCGTCTTGGATCGGGTTTTATATCGCTTCCACTATACAAATTATTAACGATCATACGCTTGTCGTAAAGCAATAGAAAAGAAGGAGAAGGTAATGTCACTTGTTTAAGCAAAATAGACACGATAGCTAATTTAAAGTAACATTTAGACAGAAATTAAAAGAAATGTTACTGTCTGTAAACATAGCGAGAGAGAAGAGAGAGAGAGAGAGGATATATTAGATTGTTTACATCAATGAATATTCTCTCTATTCAGTTAGTTCAGTTGTCTATATTAATAATAATTAGTAATAAACTTATTATTCACAATGAAAACAGTCTAAAAGGTTAATAAATGTGCTTTTTATATTTGCTCATTTATCTCAAAGGGTACAGATTTTCTTTCTTTTCCATCTATAGACAATATTTTTCCTCTAAACAATGCAAGTTCACAGACGGGAAAGTATTAGGAAACATTACTCAGCTAAAACATTCTTTACTACTCAATAATAACTTGCATTTTTCAATACCAAACTACACGATAGGAAATAACACTATCTAAGCTTTAAGATTAAAGTAGAGCAGTTTATTCAATGGATTTAATGTTTTATAGATTACATATATAATGAGTGATTGGCATTAATGTCCATTATTTGACTTGTTACGAAATATTACGCTTTATCAGCCAATTTTCAGATAAAAAGGATAAATCAATGAAAATTTATCCCTTATTTTTTGCATGAAGAAGTCAATTCAGTTCAATTCAGTTTTCGTTTATTAAAATCTAGATAAATTTAATACAACAGCAATATACATGAAAAGGTGGCTGATTAAATCTCTGTGCATACATTCTCATAGTTTTCGCCTAAGTTTTACCGTTTCTCCTTATCATTCGAACATTTAGATCTCCTGGATTGAGTACGATTCCAAATTTATAGTCTCTAGGATCTACATCCTCTCCTACGTCCTTACCATTTCCTGGAAGGAATTTATAGTTCTGAACCAATGCTCCTATCACAAGAAACAATCGATTCTTTGCCAAAGTTTCTCCCAAACAAACACGTCTACCGGCTCCAAAGGCAAATAGAGCTTTTCTGCAAGGATGTCCCGGTGCAACAAACTCCCCGTTTTCTTCTAAATATCTTTCAGGCTTAAACTTGTACGGTTCTGGAAAGATTTTCTCATCGTGGTGTAGACCCCACATAGAAACGAACACTTTGTGATCCTTTGGAACTTTGTATCCAAGCAAAGTAGTATTTTTAATAGCCCTGTGCCCTGCCATAGGAACATGACTGATGAATCGTAAAAGCTCATATATTGAAGCCTAAGGAAGAGATAAAGCGAATTGTGAAACGGTTTACAAATTGTTCAATTTAACGCAATACCATTAGATAATGATGATTATTTTTATCATTGATATTTGGACGTCTATCATTTCCTACATTATCAATGATTTCTTGATAAATCTTTTCTTGAATTTCTGGATATCTTAGCATTAATTGAATAAAACAAGTTACGGCAGTAGCAGTAGTAGCGTAACCTAGTGGCAATTGGGTTAAATAAAAAATTTCAAACAGTTGCTATTATGTCATTGATTGAAAAATGAAGAGAAATTACCGGCAACCAAAGTTTGAATAGTCATCATAACAAGTTGAGGATAAGATATCTTTGTCTTTGAATCCAATTTCTGCTCATTTAGATATTCTTGATAGAATAGGTCCAAGTAGCCACGTGGCTTATTGGCTTCGAATGTTTTCTGTTTATAATCAACATAATAATAGAAAGTTTAAAGTGGATTAAAAGTGAATTTATTAGTTTACCAATTGTTCGTCAATTTCGTTCTTAAACCATTTGTTGGCGTCTAAACCTTTTTGTAAATCCGAGCATATTTTGCTTGGAAAATTCATCTTCCATAAGAAAGGGAATATGTCCAAAATAATCCCTTCCGGTGATATTTGAGATGGAGTGGCAGCATCGAAATTTTTCTTCAAGAAACCTATTGCTGGGTCATTCCATGGTAATCGTTTTCCAAGAGCCTATATTATAAAAAAAGTGGATAGAAAGATAATACTATAGAGACAAGTGATATGAAGAGAAAATATATACCAAAGTAAAGATGATGTTGACGAAACAATTGATGATATCTTCGTTAATCACCCAAGGTTGACCTTGTTTTTCATCGATGTTTTTGAAAAAGTCATCGAGTACTTGATCAGTTACCCTTTCGAGATCTTCCAAGCCTTCTCCATACATCTAAACAAGAATACGAATATTTTAGCGAGTGAATTAGAGTATTCAAAGTGAATTGAATAAGGAACCTTCATTGATTTCATAGCCAACTTCTTCCTTGCGTTCCATTCGGGTGAGAAACTTGTAAATATTAAATCATTCGGAAGATCGTATGAAAGCTTTGAAACGAAATAAATGGATTGTTTAATTAATAAGGAAACCGTTTGAATGTGCAGCTTACGGCAATTCTAAAAGGTTCTAACCTTCCTGCAAAATCTGTTGATTTTTCAAGAAGGACTTCATGTACCGCCTCATAAGATGATGCAATAATAAATTTTTTTCCTAGAAAATTGACTATGGCCACTCCTCCATACTCCTCAGCCCATTTGGTAAATCTTTGATGTATTGGTAGATGTCTATTTTGAAAGTAGTTGCCAACAATTGGCCATTTGAATGGTCCTTGTATCTTTTTTTCCGAGTTTCTTTTGCTATATTTTTGAAAAGCAAGAGCCAGAGAACAGGCAGATAAACTGACAATCGTCAAGGAAACATATTTGTTTTCTTCATATATTGATTTGATATCTTCAGTAACGATTGTACTAATTCGATTAATGAACTCTTGTAGATTTATTAATTTTCCATATAGTAGACTATCTCCAAAGGTTGCCATATCTAGGATTAAAGGAAACTTTTGAAAAAGGCCTAAACTGGGTTGTTACTTGGGAAGTCTTAGGAAGAGACAATTGCAGCGAATGATTTTATATAAAATATCTACTGTATTTTTTTGCAATTGCTCAATAGGCTAAGGGTTCAGAAACTGGAACAAATGTGCTAAAGTGACACCTGTAGGGTGAAAAAGTTAACAAAGCGAAGAGAAAATGAGGTTAAATTTTAGAAAAATAGGTGAGTTTGCAACAACTTTGAGACGTTGACAAGAGAAAAGAAAGTTAAAGAATTGAAATGAAGGAGTTATTGTTAGTTTGCTTGAAAGGGAAAGATTCATGACACTTACCCGCTGAATTGTGTTCAACTGAAACTTTTACTTAAAATAGTAAGAGGGCTTAAAGTAGTTCGAGGGAAAATGGCGGCTTTTTTCACCGCGTATGAAAAATCTAAGAAAAGTCTTCTGCTTGGGTTAAAAACTGAGGCGTTGTTTTGAATTGTGTACAAAAATACAAGGGAAACGTCATTTCCTTGAATATATTTCTTTACTTAAAACTTACTAGCAATATATAAAGTATCTTATTTTACTTCAATGTCTTCCCTTATCTTATCTTTAATTGAAAAGATGCTAAGAGTTTGTCTATGGAAACGTTCAAAATGTCATCAAAAGTTTAAAAGCTTTATTATAAATTGGAATTCATTATTATTCAAATGTCTTTTGCTGCAAAAGTGTTTTTCTCTTCAATTGTCCATATCTTTCCCCTTCCTCTCTCTCTCTCTCTCTCTTCCTCTCCTTATCCCTTGTAGGAATTTACTCGTTGTTATCTTTATAGTTAAGTATAGAATTCACATAGATTTTAGAAACAAACGACTCTCTCTCGCAGACAAGACGAGACATTTTTAGGTCAAATTTAGCAAAGTGACCACCGTAATGTAATCTATTTTGGTAGGCTTTTTATAAGTTCATCTCAAAATAAAGAAATAGTAGGATAGAGCAAATCTATTGGACAAAAAGGATATACAGTATATAGAACTCTTCTAACAATTCTTTATCATAATAGAGAAGAAGCAACAGAGAAAAGAATTTAATCGTTTCTATTATTAGTTCTGTTGATAGTTGGTTGCGAAATATTTTAATATATTTACATCACACTGAATTAAGAATTTATTCAATTCGGATTATTAGCATTTTTGTAATATATATTTAAAACAAACTAACCGGAAATAGAATTAAAGCAACAGCTATTAATTCAACTAATTACGTCATATGAATAGACTAATATGAATGCAATTTTTCATACGCTATTTTAATTCAATTCTGGTTTATTCAAGAAATTAGAAACTTATTGAAAATGAGTTATTTTAAGCGGAAAAGATAATCATTCACCTTAATGTCACTATAAATTAAGGTGAAAATGTAATCTTACAGCCGATAAGGTCATGACTCATCTATATAAATAAATTTCAATATTATTATATTAGTTGAAATTTACAAATCGACATTTCCTATTTAAGTGCAGTATAGAAATTTATGCATAAACCTCTTATCATTCAAACATTCAAGTCCCCACTGTTCAATATGAACCAAAATTTATTATTTCTAGGACCAGCGCCATCTCCTATACCATTATCATTTCCTAGTGGGAATTCATATTTTTTACTTATTCTGTTCTCTGTATTTGAATAGCGTTCAACAATATAAACCATCTTATATTTGACTGCAAAGAGGAGGCTATTTACAACAATATTCAACAAGCAATGCTTATTACAATTTTGTAATAGAGTAAGTTATTTTTTACCCCAGAAATAATGGACAGTAGCAGCTAACGTCACCAATTTTTGGATGAAACCAACTGATTTTTGGACGAGGCGTTTCTAGAGTCCTTCTAACCAATCGGCCATCGTTAACTTTCTTCCCTCTCAGAAGTATAAATAGCAAAAATGTTGAAAGGAGATGAATTAACCATTTAGTTGTAAAGGCTCTATCATATTGATCTCAATAATGGACAGCTGATGCATTTGTCAACTGTTACAGTAATAGAGACTGAGTTTTTAACCAGAAAAGCTTTTAACCTTTCCTAAACATTGTTTAACGCAAAGACTTGTTTCGAAATATTTTGCTCTATTTACATCATCAGCCATTTTTTCAAAGATATAAAGGTTAAATCAATAGAAATTTATCCCTTATTTTAAGCATAAAGAAAACCAGTTCAGTTCAATTTTTCTTTATTAAAATCACTCAAAAAAAAATTAAAAACTAATTGAAACAAAGATAAATTTTGTGTAACAACAATTTACATGAAAAGACGGTTAATTGAATCTCTGTGTATTCATTCTCATAGTTTTCGCCTAAGTTTTACCGTTTCTCCTTATCATTCGAACATTTAGATCTCCTGGATTGAGTACGATTCCAAATTTATAGTCTCTAGGATCTACATCCTCTCCTATGTCCTTACCATTTCCTGGAAGGAATTTATAGTTCTGAACCAATGCTCCTATCACAAGAAACAATCGATTCTTTGCCAAAGTTTCTCCCAAGCAAACACGTCTACCGGCTCCAAAGGCAAATAGAGCTTTTCTGCAAGGATGTCCGGGTGCAACAAACTCTCCATTTTCTTCTAAATATCTTTCAGGCTTGAACTTGTACGGTTCTGGAAAGATTTTCTCATCGTGGTGTAGACCCCAAAAGAATGTAATCAGCGTTGTGTTCTTTGGAATTTCATATCCCAGCAAAGTAGTATTTTTAATAGATTTATGAACGGAAAACGGTACGTGACTTGTAAATCGCAAAAGTTCATAAATTGTAGCCTGAAAAGAGAAATATGTTTTTTAAAAGTTGAATTCCATTAGATAATCATTGTTTGTAGTTTGTAACAATACCATTAGATAATGATGATTATTTTTATCATTGATATTTGGACGTCTATCATTTCCTACATTATCAATGATTTCATGATAAATCTTTTCTTGAATTTCTGGATATCTTAGCATTAATTGAATAAAACAAGTTACGGCAGTAGCAGTAGTGGCATATCCTAGTGGCAATTGAGTTAAATAAAAAAATTTCAAACAGTTACTATTATGTCATTGAATGAAAAATGAAGAGAAATTACCGGCAATCAAAGTTTGAATAGTCATCATAACAAGTTGAGGATAAGATATCTTTGTCTTTGAATCCAATTTCTGCTCATTTAGATATTCTTGATAGAATAGGTCCAAGTAGCCACGTGGCTTATTGGCTTCGAATGTTTTCTGTTTATAATCAACATAATAATAGAAAGTTTAAAGTGGATTAAAAGTGAATTTATTAGTTTACCAATTGTTCGTCAATTTCGTTCTTAAACCATTTGTTGGCGTCTAAACCTTTTTGTAAATCCGAGCATATTTTGCTTGGAAAATTCATCTTCCATAAGAAAGGGAATATGTCCAAAATAATCCCTTCCGGTGATATTTGAGATGGAGTGGCAGCATCGAAATTTTTCTTCAAGAAACCTATTGCTGGGTCATTCCATGGTAATCGTTTTCCAAGAGCCTATATTATAAAAAAAGTGGATAGAAAGATAATACTATAGAGACAAGTGATATGAAGAGAAAATATATACCAAAGTAAAGATGATGTTGACGAAACAATTGATGATATCTTCGTTAATCACCCAAGGTTGACCTTGTTTTTCATCGATGTTTTTGAAAAAGTCATCGAGTACTTGATCAGTTACCCTTTCGAGATCTTCCAAGCCTTCTCCATACATCTAAACAAGAATACGAATATTTTAGCGAGTGAATTAGAGTATTCAAAGCGAATTGAATAAGGAACCTTCATTGATTTCATAGCCAACTTCTTCCTTGCGTTCCATTCGGGTGAGAAACTTGTAAATATTAAATCATTCGGAAGATCGTATGAAAGCTTTGAAACGAAATAAATGGATTGTTTAATTAATAAGGAAAATTTTTAAATGAGTAGCTTACTGATAATCTGAATGTTTCTGATCTTCCTGCATAGTCGGTGGACTTTTCCAGGAGACACTCCTGAAGTCCTTTTAATGAGGTGACAACTATGTGTTTTTTAGACAGTAAATTGACTTGGAATATTCCTTGAAATTGTTTCGCCCATTGATCGATTCTATTGTGAAATTCTGCGTCTCTGTTATCGAAATAGTTTCCAACTATTGGCCAACCTGCAGGTCCAGGTATTTCTTTAGAAATCTTCCGCTTTCTCCTCGATATATAAATAGCAATTACAATGCAAACAGACGACCCCAAGATTACTTTGAATGCATTGCCATTATCATCAATTAAAGATTGGATATCTCTGCCAGTGACTTGACTCAAATTGTCAATAAGGAAGGATTGTACAGAATTTAACTTATCGAGTACAACGGCTCGGAAAGTATGCAACATTTCTTTCATGTAACTGCTTAAACGACTGAGCTGATTTTAAATATTTTTACCAGTTTATATACTAGATAGCTGTGTTATTGATTCGAGTATAAGCCTATGCTTGTAGTACAGTGGAGCATTTAGAAAGAATGGGAAAATGTTTTAGTGGGTTAAAGCTAAAACAACTACAGTAGCTATAGTCTTTTGAATATTTAACGAAGCTTTGATTTATTACAGAAGTTGACAAATTACCGAATATTTTTGTAGAAAGGGGATTAAATTTGTTTGTTTTGTTTTTTATAAGAAATACTACACTAGTGTTATAGTAAAATGTCTTATCGGGAAAAGATATATGATATATGCAGATATATAGAAATCGTTTATTTTATTGCGTAATCTCCTTTTTTTAACGTTTTTTTAAGATATTTTCTGCTGATTACATGTTTTTTCAATAGATAATCTAACTAATATTTTAATGATGAACTAATTAAAGATAAGAAGATAACTTTTCTGTTTATATCTTGATTGTTTTCGTAATGAATAGCTTGAGAAAGAGAAGCAAGAGGTTATCCTTGTGTTCATATATAGATATAAGATATATTTACACTTAATCATGTTCTGAAAACCTGAATGTTCCTATATCTTATTTTTGTGTTGCGTAGGCCTACATATATATAGATATATTGTACTGACGGAGCATTTATTAGTATAGTATTCTGTATTTTTAATTCAATCAATGAAAATTCGTATTCAACGAGAAAAGCTATTGAATGGAATTAGTTGTTCCTCCTTTTTATCAACTATAATTGTTAGTGTAGCTTATCGAATATTCTCCAATTTCAATACCCAAGCCCATGGTGTTGGTATCTGAGATGGATTTAATGCCGGAATTGAAACGGATATACCTTGGTTATCTAAATTTTTAAACATAAGATTTCCAGAGTAACCTAGTAGCGATACTTTAGTATTCGGCATTGGAGTAACGCTCTTCAACATTAATTGACCATTCATTGGCCAATTAAAGAATGTGGCGTATACTGCGTCCGGTTTCATAGTGTAATATACTCTTTTAGTCATTGTGTCGTTAGCTCTCTTCCATGGTCTGGACTCGTAGATAGCATCTCCATTTACTCCTAACCACTTTCCCATTTGCCTTAATCTCTCTTCGAAAATGGGTATGATACGGCCGTCTTTAGTTGGTCCAATATTCATTAATAAATTACCATTACAACTGAAAAATGGAAAAAGGGTAGAACGAGCCGCTATAGAATCTTTAGAATAGGATTAGAGTGCATCCCCTTCATACATACCTAACAGTTTGAGCTAAAGTTTCTAGCAAAGTTTCAATAGTTAAATAGTCCTCTAATTTAGCTTCTCTTCTATAACCCCACGAGCTTCTATCAATAGTCATAGCATTTTCGAATTTATGCTTTTGAATTGTTCCTGGATTGAATCTATCCGAACATGTATAATAACCTCCATGCTTACATGTAGCGTCATTTCCCCATCTATCGTTTACGGCGACAGTATCTTTAACGGGACTGTCATTGTACAACCACGCCAAGAATTCAGTACTGTTCCAATAGGCGGATGATGCTTCCCAATCTCCGTCCGACCAGATAACTTCGGGTTTGTAATTCATAACCAATTCGTATAGTTCTGGTAGAGCTTTACTCTATATTAAATTACTTGATATATCAATAAATTTATGAGAAGGGAAGAAGAGATATACAGTATATAGAGTCTAGATAGAAATTAATATACCTTAACGAAATACTGGCTCTTAAAATTATTCTCTTTATCAATATTATACAATGGATTGTACCATTCGAACATGGAATGATATACCCCAAAATGAATGTCAGTTTTTGCCCTAATTGAATCTGCCAACATTCCAACTAGATCTTTATTTGGTCCAACTGCTTTTGAATTCCAATTGAACGAAACATTCGAAGGCCAATTAGTGAAGCCTTCGTGATGTTTACTAGTTAGAACAACGTATCTAGCAAAAATCGAGAGAAAAATGAATCTTCCTTCATTGTCTTTTCCCGTAAAATGCTATTGGATACTTACTTCGCACCAGAAGCCTTGAACAGTTCCGCCCAGTCATCTGGATTAAAGAATTCGGTTGTAAAATCTCTTGCAAAGTCTGCATAAGTCCAGTTTGGTCTATAATTGTTCTTAACAAAATTTACAAAAGATGGGTCGCCACTCTTCCATCGGTTCCAAAACCATTCAGTTCCAAAAGAGGGAACTGAAAATACACCCCAATGCATAAAGATACCAATTTTAGCATCGTTGTACCATTGAGGTATGGGTCTACTGTCAACAGATTCCCACGTAGGAGAATACCTAGAGGCAACGACGGTGAAGCATAAGGATAAGATCAATAAAGTCTTCATCTTCATGAAGCAATTTAAAGTTTAACAAAGAAATTCCAGATTTATATCTGATTTTATATAATCTGTAACGAAAACCGCCCCAAATTACATTGTGATTTATTTTGATAAATATGACAAAACTGAATATTCATTCTCTATTCTCTTTGCAAATAAAACATGAATAAATAAATTAACTAAATTTGTTACAAAGTAAGCTTTATATAGATATTAAAAAGCTATTTTTAGAACTAAAACGACGAGACAACATCTGTCATTGTTGTATAATCTTAAAAGTATTGAAAAGAGAATAGAAAAACGAAAAAAAGAAAGACAGAGCGCAAAGAGAGAAAGAGAAATTGATAATAGAGAGATAGAGATAAGATTTAAAAAAAAATTGAATGTAGTAACATTTTTTTTATCGATTTTTTTTATAGCTTAAACAGAGGACTTTGAACTGTGAGGAGATTCTATTGTTTTCTAAAAAAAGAAATGTTCATATTTACTGCAACAAATCAGGAAAACAATGAAGAGCATAGCGAAAGTTACAAGATCATTAATGCCGCTACAAACAGCTACCAAACAAATAACAAAGAGACGGAAGGCGAACACATTAAGAAACCACCAAGATTCAATAAGAAATTAATCATTTTAGTAATTCTATTTCTTATTAATTTCATTAATTCCCTGTTTATTTCCTTATTATCACCATTTTTTCCAACGGTGGTCAGTATCTAATTTTCATTTATCAATTAAAGATTATAACTGTATTAATTAGAATCGTCGTTTTACAGGCGATTAGTAAAGGGGCTAGTCGAACAGAAATAGGAATTATTCTCGGCAGCTATCAACTTGTTATGCTACTTTCGACACCAGTTTTTGGCAAAATAGTATAATTATACCATACTGTTAAAAAAAGATATTTACTCAAATTCCTCTCCTAATTAGATATCAAAAACTGGTGCAAAATTTATGTTTGTCGCGGGAAGCTTTATAGTTAGCATTTGTACAGCTTTATTCGGGTCAGAATTTCATAAGTTTTCATTTATTTCTTTATTGGTTCCTCGCTATAATCCATTGAATATTTAAATATCTCACCTTCCCATTTACAGAATACTTGAATGGAGTCCCAACGGGCCTATTTATGTGGTTATGTGCTGCCTCAGTAGAACAAGCGAAGCTCTTGGAGCGGCAGCATCCACAACGGCGGGCTGCGCTATAGCGTCGTTCCTGTTCTTGGACAATCTTAATTTTGTTATGGGCTTATTACAAGCAGCAAAAGCTTTAGGTCTCATGATCGGACCAATTTTCGGAGGTTTATTGTACTCTGTCGATGGTTTTTATTTACCTTTTGCTGTTACTGCATCTATTTACTTTCTGCTGACAATAGTCGCCTTTTTTCTATTGCCGTCAATTGACAGTAAGCATCATTCGAACACTAGATTATATTCTGTAAACATACTTTCAATTATTCTACTTATAGACAATCAACAGCTAACTAATAGTAATATATCAATAATTCCTCTTCTCAAAAGTCCTACCATCATCGTAATAGGATGTTTGTTAGCCGTAGCTCAGATGTTACTGGGTTTTATAGACGTGTCACTAGCTCCTTACCTCCAACAGGTAAACATAAACCAGCAAAGAAATCTCTCTTCTTCTTCTTATACATTATGCTCTCTTTCTTCAGTTTCATTTAAGTCCTGTTCAAGTGGGTGGAATCTTTTTAATTGCTCCGGCTACTCTCGCTCTATCTTCGCCAATTTACGGAAAAATCTGTGATAAACTTGCAAGTTCTTCTACAAAGTGCTTATAGTAAACTATAGTATTACATAATGTATTCTATTTTAGGGAAAAGAAAGATCTGTATTAATTGTTGGTATTTCAATTAGTTTGATAGGATTTCTATTAATTGGTCCTTCTAAACTGTTCTTCTTTATAAGGTTTGTTTTGACTTGTTTATTTCCAGACAATTGTCTACCAATTACTGTTTTCCAGGTGTAAACTTTGGCTGGTAGGCGTCAGCTTTGCTATTGCAGGAATTGGATGGGGAAGTATTATAACTACTTATAAAGAATTCGTTGATGTTGCCAAGTATGTTTTTTGCCTAACTACTGAGCTAAAAATAGAAAATAAATTACTTCCATAATGTAAAATATAATTTAGATCCAAAGATTATCCCGAAGGGATAGAGACAGACGGAATAATATCTGGTTTATACAACGCCTACAACAATTTTGGAGCATTTCTTGGCCCAACAATAAGCGGGTATATTGTTGATCAACTGGGCTTTCAATGGTCATCAACACTATTTGGGGGAATATTCGCTCTAAGCGTAAGTACCAAATTAATTGCAAATACTTGCAAAATATCGTATATCATTTTAATTTTTTGCAGTTGATTAGTCTCATTGGTCTTACTGCAGTTGAAAGATGCTTTCAGAGTAATAGGAATTTGGGAAGGATACCAATGGTTATAGAGGAATAGGAAAACAAACTTTATATATATTAGTGTGTTTATTTAAAGCGTTTAAAAGAAAATTTAATAATAGCGTTTATTCTCAAAGACACTGTATATTTTTTTCAATTTAATCAACTTTGAAGCGTCTAATGACATGCTACAATAGTAAATTGACTGCGAACATACATATTACTTTTATATGTATAAAGCAATAATATACGCTTATATATTGTTTATGTGTACACTGTATATTAAGTCATAAAGTATATATTTATATAAATCGAATTTCAAACGACGAATATATAGAAGACGGGAACCATAAGGAAACAGTATTTTGATACTTGTTATTATTTCAGCTATACTATATATATATATATATATATATAGATATAACATGTTTTAGAAAATAAAAGAAGCATAAAGTATTATCTTAACTAGATATATTATGGTTAAGCTGCAAAAAAGCTCACTAAATGTAAAATAGACATTGTATACATATATACAGTATATGCACTAAATTTTTACTGTATATACAGTATATATTGTATAGTGTATGTATAACAGTTTTACATTGATGAGTATTTCAAAGTATGTTACGAAACAAGAATGCCCGATTAATTATATTTTATGCAGATTGTTGTTTTGAAATTTCTTGTTTAGGTTTAAATAAATGAACTATTCAAAATATGACCAAAAAAATTCCAAGTTTCCAGCTTGGTTGACGATTGATCAAATTTAAAAGGAAAAGCATACAAATCATTATTAAATTAATTATATAAGAAATGTCTTTGAGGTATGAATTAACTTATACTATTAATTATACTTATACAATGTTAACACAAAATGACTTCACCTAAAGCGTTTTAATGTAAAACTTGCTATGTCAGCACTTTCTTCAAGTTGAATATGGCATTCTTTGATCTTAAACACTTTATACAATCACTAATTAATTAGCCTGTTATAACTGAAAAATACTAAACAACGTACAAACTTTTCAAGCAATATTTTATAGCAAATATCATGGTTTAAATATGATAAAGATCATCAATACTAAAAAAAGTAAATAAAGCTAAGTAATAGCGATACCCAAGAACGGTTTCAAAACCAACAATAGTGTTTTTAGTTACTTGTCAACAATCGAGCCCGCTAAATTAAAATTAAAAAGTTCTGCAGTTTTTAAAATATGCTTACGACTAGAAAAGCAGACATCTTTGGGATATTTAATCTTTTCTGCATAGTTAAGAAATTACCTAATTCAAATAAATTCAACGTAATTTCTTGGTATTCTACCCCTTCGGCCTTTATTATCTGTCGCTTTCAGCCAATTTTCTTGGTGGCATTTCTCTACTTCATGCATTACATCACTTACTCCAAAGGTTAATTCACCGTCTTCATCAGCTTCACACGGATAGAGCGCTCGAACCTGACGACTTGGCAATGGTGACCGTTGAGGCTGAGGAGGAGATAGTCTTGTATGAGGAGAAGAAACGGATGATGAGGATGAGCTGTAATAGTAGCAACAATTTCTATAAATTATCTATAAATTACAAAGTAAAATTATAAAATTATAAATACTTTAAATAAAAACACTTATATTAAACATAATTGACAAAGTTTATCAAAATATTCATTTAAATAAAGGTGCTATTACAATCTAATTACTGTATATAAATACGAATATTTACTTTTTATAAAATCAAGGCGACAAAAGCTTTCTACTGATTTTAAATTATAGAAAAAAATTATCATTCGAATCAAAGTTTTCTTATATTAACGTATAATTTTAAAAATCGTGAGTTTGTAAGTTAATTCATCTAACTTAAAAAACTAATCTTTTCATTGCTTTTAAATTAAAATAAACTTCAATCGGGGGAAAAGGTCGAAAAATATCAAGCAAAATTTTTACACACTCACAAATAAAAATAATAATAAAATAAAAAAATAAACAATTGTGATTTCGGAACAACATTTAGAATATGGCGCTTACACAGAAAAAGAGTTGGACATAATCGAATCATTTGATGATTTCCTTTTGCGAAAAAGGCTGCTGTTCAAGTACTCGATTTAATAAAATTATTTTAATTAATAATAATTTAAAAGTAAAGTTTAAAATTTTACCTGAATTCGAATTTGTTGGCGTTTGGTTTTGATGCTGTGGTAACTAAAAAACAAAATCTATATTCAATAGAGTGTAAAAAAATAAACAATAAAAGAGCATAAATATATCAAATGAAAATTTTTCGGTTGTACCAAACAGAACAGAGGATACTAGAAAAAGTTCTCCCTTTCGTTTAAAATAAACGCAAGCCTCACCAGGATATTGTCTTTTGCCATTAAGATCTTCAGCGCTGGTTGAGACAAAGCGGCGTTGGGTAACGGTCGGGGTTAAGGTCTTCTTGGGACATCTAACTAATACGGCTCCAGTAAATTCTGTGCAAAGCGAAAGCAAATTGTGCAAGGGAAATGGGGAAACAGGCCATGCATACAATTTTACACAGCAGTCTGACTTCTGGTAACATTGATTGGCCTTTGATTAGGCAATAAGAATAATAATAATTATTAAACGCAATTGATATTTAACTAGTTCTTTAGAGAAAAAAAAGTTTTTTAGTTGCTCATCACGGAAGAGAAAATCCAGGAATTTTTTTTCTATATACATATATATCATATGTGAAACGAACATATATTTACATAATAATTTTTAAGAATTTAAGGCTAAGCAATAAAAATAAAAAAATTCACTGTTTGTCTATAATTGTAAAAAAACAGATTTGACAATTTTTAAAAAATTATGGCAGTTAAAGATATTGTCTATGCAAACTGGAATCTTTAATTCTTTAATAATTATAGTTAGGCTTCAAAGGCCATTTAAAACGGTATTATATGACGAGATTGATGAGTAAAATTTGATATCAAATGCGTTATAAGCAATCGCATTCTCTCTCTATATATATTTATATATAAATATTATAGAGCAAGCTACAAAATTCAAGAGGTTTCATCATCTAACGACAGAAAGAAACTTATCATTTGAACAGAAGAGGAAAGATAAGACATAAACAAACCTGGTGAGTTAGTTGGATAAGAAGTACTCATTACATCTTTAGGACCTAGATCTTCATTACTTCGTCCTGGGCTCTTTCTTTTAGCTCCATTTAAATCAGGTTCCAGTGGAGGGGGAGGTGCTGCCCCATCCTTAAGTGGACCGGCAAATATAACTTCATAGTTATTGATTAGAACCTCCAGGGTGGCCGTAACAAATTTCGTCTCTATTATACCCTCAATTGTTTGAACCCGAGGCCTTAAAAGACTTGGTGCCCAAACAACTGCTAAATTAGCAGCCGTCATTTTATTTGTTATGGAATGTGCAGCAATGGTGGTAAGATGCTTAACAAGGATTTTTAGTATATCGAAGTTAGCATCTGGTAGTTGGTAGATAGCTCTATGTATGTCGGAAATCATTAGTAATTTTGATTCCATTTTAGCAGCAGATAAGAAGCTTTCGTATAGTTCAAAGGTTAAAAGAGGTTCAGGTAGCTCACGAAAGTAGTGCTTTAAAGCCGAGGCAATTACTTTAATCTCCGTTCCTTCCAGAATAGATAATGGTTTCCTCTTATCGATACAATCACTCACGAGCTTTTGCACTTTGGTGGCCACCCCTGTTAATTTAATTAGTCTTTATATTATTTTTAGCAGATTAACTATATCTAGAAACTTTAAAGTAATATTTCTTGCGTGTACTAACAATGTTAAGTTTAGATAAACACAAAACTACTTATATAAACTTACAAACCTGGAAGTCTATAAATTCCTTGCTCGGTTGCAGCCGACTTTTCAATAATTTCAATACATTTTTCAACAAATTTAGTACCGACATCGTCGAAATTTGGAAGTCTTTTTACTACTTTTACTTCTGAGTCGACAGGATGTTTATTTATGGTATTTAACCATGTTTTCAAGTCGCCTTCCGTAATTGCTATAAATGTCAGTGTCACTGGTGACTTATCCTGCTTTTGAGCATTCACTTCAAAACAATATCGTCTATCAGTCCCTTGATCGCCCAACATTTTCCTCATGCCCTGTGAAACTAAATAAGTGTTTTCTGTACCATTTTCTTGTTTAACAGTAAGTCGCGAATCTCTATATTCACAAAAAGTTTTGCAAACGGGTGACGAACTTATGTTAATAGCCATGGTTTTTAAATTTTTAAGATTTTTCTTCTGAGACAGGAAAAGAGTTCCTTCACAACTAACAGGAATTTTATCGTCATGTAATTGAACATCGCTAAGTCCGTTTTCTATTCCCTTCTTTTTCCGCGAAAGAAATGTAACTTCTTTCAATTTATTTGCATCCTAAAAGGGAATGGAAAAAATTGAAATTTAATAAAAGGAGAATATAAGGATCTTGAGAGTTGAATAACAAATAGCAAACCTCTTGAAACTGCTGAAAATTCATCTCACAGTGTTGAATTTTTAATTGAAATTTATTTATATCATTCATATTATCTTTTTTCTTTTCAAAGCCAACATGATAGAAATTGAACCAAACGTTGATATAAGTCTGCATAATCTTAAAAAGTTCCATTTTTCTCTTCTCCTCAACCTCTAAGACTTTTAATATATAATTAGCAGCCTGATCGTTCCATTTTCTTTGTTCGTCGGCGAACATTTCGTCAAATTCTCTCAGAGAACTATCCGTCGAATATTTATTTTTAGAATAGTTGTTTAAAACATTACTAAATTTTTTACAGGAAGCCTCATAATTTTTACTCTCCTTTCTAACGTTACCCAGCTCTTTTTTCCGAAAGCTTTCGAATTGATTAAGAATACAATCTTCCACTGATTTTAAAAACAAATCGCGTTCATTTTCAACCTGCTTTAGTAATTGAGCGAAATTCTGGAATGATTCTTGTAAGACTTTATCGTCCCCGGATTGGGTTCCCGCGAATTTGAGATTAAAATCCTCTAAAATTTTTGCTAGATGCAGCTGTTTATCGCTTAAATCTGTAATGTTAAAATATACATTGTATATCTATATATATATCTATAACACATATATATGTATATGTATTTCAAGATCATTTGTAATAAAAACCAACATAAAAGTATCATTAAAAAACAGAAAGGAGCACTTTGGACAAAAAGGTCGAAATTTTTTACTCTGAATAGTAAAACTAACTTTTTTGCATGTGTAACTTTTTTATTATTAGTACTGCCAGGCAAATATTTCTACATACATTGCATTCAATTTGATTAGTCATCTATTAGAATTTTTTTTATTTAACTTGTAGAATAATTACAATTGTTGAGGCCTGTAAATACAATCAGAATAGTTTCGAATGTGTGGGCCATATTTCTGGTTCATTGAAACATCAGAAGTTGAAGCGTATAAAAGTTTCTCTCAAATATGCAACGCTAGTGAACAAATGCTATAGAGAATTCAAGTATTAAAAAGTAAAATAAGCAACTCTAACGTTACACCTCTCCTTAAAAAATTTGTATCATTTATCTAATGTTTCTTCCTTCTTGGATAGAGACGTTTAACAAGTTGTACAAGTCTTTAGAGAAGACAGTAATATTTAAACCTTTAAAGCCCTGTAAAATTCATTTAACGTGAAGTAATGAGATTTCCAGGTGCCGAGAACGTCACGTGCAACGCCTACAGCAGAATTTTTTCCGCATATGGAACAGATTCGATTTTCAGGTTGAAATTTTATTCCATCAATTAAATAGAATTTTATTTAAAAAAAAAAAGAGTCTATTTGTATTCATTCAGAGATAAAGACAAAGAAGGTGAACGAGACGGAGAGAAGCCGAAAAAAAAAAACGTTCTGTTCGATTTGAAAAAAATAATCTATATATTCAAAAATCCAAAGAATAATGAATTGTGCATTTTTTTAATATGAAAGGAATAACGTTAGAATTTAAGAATCCCATTAAACGATTATTCATATTTTTTTTTATAAACATATTTAAATCTACTTTTTATTAGTACTAAACAGAAATTTATATATGTACATATTAGATATAAGTATGCTATTTATCTATATTTACTTATGTTATACAGAATTATTGTTTTTGTTGATAAATCAATAACTAAAAATTATTCAACGTATTTTAAATATAATTTCATGATTAATACATTATACTTCAAAGATTAATTAACCCTTTTTAAGTTGTTAAAAAGTCGAAAACTAATTTTTTAGACCAACATCAGTTCCAATAGATTTTTATGCACATATATGGCCCAGCTAGTTAATTACGGATACAAATAGTCCTAACTTTATTTATCGCAGTACTGATTAAATCATTTCTCGTCGAAATATGCAAAAGAATTTTCGTTATATAACATAAGAACATTTTTAAAAACAGTTGATAAGAAGAGTGTAAGAGCCATTTTTAACGGTTCCAATTTAAATATCTATACTACAATCAATTGCGAATGACTCTAAATTCTTCTACAATTATACTTTAAGATGACTTTACAAACCTTTAGCAGTGTCAAATACATTTTTGCAAGCTTCGTGCAACGATTTTATGTATTTGTTTGTTTGATCCAACTCTGCCTTGTGGTCAGCTAGTTTCTGCTTGAAACTTGGACTGTCAGTTAAAACTTCGTTAATTTCAAGAGCTTTTAACGACATTCTACAAATAATATTGATCAGAATTTGCAAAAATTCCACATTATTGCCTAATCAATGAACGATTTGAAACGTTTTGTAAAAATGATTTCAGACGGATTATTTGCGCATGCGCATTCGCACTGTGAGATCTCAGATAAAGTGTCTTTTGATGACAAACGCTTGGTTTTTGTAACATAGAAAGATAACAGAGTGATTAGAATCAACTAATATTTTGATAGTTCATCTCCAACAAATCTAAAAACAGTAAAAAATAGATGCTTATGATGAATAACCCTTTGGCTATTATTATAGTAAAGAATCAAAGCAAATATGATACCGTACAGCTATATCATTAAGAGTTTTATCTTGAACTTTTCAACGGTTTAATACTTTCCTATAAGTTAAATAATATTATTCCTGTTGGATTTATCAACGTGAAGCGTTTTACTTTTAAAAAAATTACGGATAAGAAGTAAATTATTTTGATAAGAAAATTCAAATCATTAAAGATTTACATTAAACAAAAGTTGATTGCAATTCATGAACGATTAGAAACCTTTTCTGTTTTTAATTAACAGCAACAAGTAAAATGGAATACTATACCAGGCTAAAAGAGCAGACGAACTATACTATTTTAGAGTATGTGTTCATTCAACAACTTAATAAACAAAATATATTTAGGCTGAAAGTGTATTCTAAGTTTTAGGTGTTGTCTTGTTAGCGTTTCTTATAATTGTTCATTAATTAAACAACAAAGGACTAATGTGTATACGCGTATATTTAAATGTTTCTCACCAAATAATAATAATATCAAATTACAAAAACAGTGAAATAACGTTGAAAATATAGTATTTCATAATTGATTATACCTTTTAAACTGAAAAACAAGGTATAATGTAAGTATAGGAATTTATAAAAATACCTTTTATTTCATTTTTTTTGTAAGAAATTAAAATATTTGTTAAATAAATTTTGTATTAAGTATTTGTTTAGCCTTTTGTAAGATGGTATAAAAGTGTTAATATAAATATCTAAATCTCTTCCTCTTCCTCCTTTCTTGTTACTCCTACTATGTTACTGTATCTGTGCAAACAGCTGAGTTGTTTGTTTAAATATAGCATTAGTTCTAGGTATCTTATAACCTTTTATTCACGAGAAAAAAAATTATACCAGAAAGTATTTTTTTTTATTTATACTTTATACCAGTTTTGTATCCTCTTTATATAGAGATCTTTATATCATTTATGTTCAAGTGACAAACTTCAAAGAAGGGTGTGAATGATAATGGAAAAAAACGAACACTTCCGTTATACGCAAATACTTATCCATGACCGAGTTATATACCTTTTCTATTGACATTCAGGGCTTAAATACAATAAGTACCAGCTCTTTAAATAAATATCTGTTAATGAATAGAATTTTTTAAGCGCCCTCTATTATCATAGATATTTTTTTTCAACCGGAAGCCATTGTTAAACTATAAGAAATAGTTGAAGAAAAAAGTATTATTGGATAATAAAGAATAATAAAGCATAGTTGAGTAAAAAGTAAAATTGAATGCAAAATAGACTTAGGGCTATGGCTGCAAAATACATTCATTTCATACGATTTTTTTTTCTTTTTTGAAAGGAAATCTCAATTATTCAGATAATACGGTACTAAGCCTTATCCATTCAATAAAAGATTAGGCTTTTTCAAGCTTTCACTGTTTACTCGTATATATCGACTGTCAAAGATTTACTTTGAGATAGAATATAAAACTTGTTTTTGACTTTCTTCCCTCTCCCCTAAATGGCAATCAATTCGAAAGAATTTAAACTTCCAAGTTTAACGGTCTTCTCCCTGGAATCATCAAATCAGCAATCCTTGGATACGGCAACCGCTTTAAGAATTAAACGATACTCTAGACCAACCTTTCCGGTAAGATTAAACAAAAGGCATAAATTAAAGTCTCTATCCCAATTAAATGGAGATCATCTACCAACATTAAGGAAACCGATTTGCAGGTAATTTCTTAAATACTCTCTTCCCAGCATAAATAATATATGCAGCATATATGCGTACAGCGAGTTCAGTCAAAATCTTAAAAGTACCAACATGTCCGTTACGTGTAATCTTCAAAAGCGCTTACAAGTCATTCATCGAGAAAAGACGATTAACGATGTTCATTTAAGAAAGAGTCAAACTTTTATTGAAACTTCTAAGAATAAGATTAATCAATCAATGAAGAAACTAAGGGAAGAGAATTGGACAAAGCAACACGAAGCTAAAGGAAGCGAAGGTATTTTTTAATAATTTTTATTAAAAAACAATTGAATTTTTGACATTTTTACAATAAAATTCCTTTAAACAAAAGTACCAGAATGGAGAGATTTAACATCGGCGTCGGTAAGAGCAAACCTAAGAAGAGAGAGATTATTGTTAATCGAACAAATTCATAAGGATAAAAGGAAAAGTAAACTTGGAAATTTCTATAATCAAGTCGAAGAGCACAGTAATAAATCTTTTCATTTTTATTCTTATTACTTCTCATTTAGATTCTCCTATTATGTTTCTTCTTTTTTTAAAAGAGGTTGAATTGGAAAAGAGTAAGACTTTTATGCCTAGTCTATCAACTAAACGAAAGGAAAGTGGGCTGGACTCGCTAATTGCCTTTAGCAAAGCTATTACAGCGTTTATGAATTTCGAAAAGAAACCAAATACTGGTGATGAGAACTCACCAGAAGCGCTAAAGAGGTGCAAATATCTAAGGATATATGAAAAGCGGACTGAAGAAGTAGAAAAGCCAACAAGTATCAAGTAGAGAAATAGACATCATAAACTGTGTATATACAGTATATCTCGCCAGTTTTTTCAAATTTGTGGGACAGACAAACAACAATTTGAAGGCAGACTTGAAAAAAATATATTATAGCCTCATGTGTGTGTGTGTGTGAGGAAGAACGAGCGAGAGAGAGAGAAAGAAAGATATAGATTGAAACAAATAAAATCTAATTAATTTTCATCTTTAATTTAACTTGAACACGCGAACACGACAGAAATTTTATACTAAATACAGTATATTAAAACTCAGTTCGTCTTCTTCTTTTTCTTCAAAATGCTTTAAGACTAATAAGCCACCAGACTCTATTCGTTATTGATCCTTTCTTGCATTCATATAATCTTTCTCCCTTCTTTCTCTCTCTCTCTCTCTTCGTTATTGTGGTCATTATATTACTAGAATTGAATCTTCAAGTTGAATGATGTTGAATAAAAAAACATAATGTTTAATGAATAATTTAATGACATTAAAATAACGTTTACTCTTCAAGCCAAATTACTTGCCTTGATAGAAGTTGTATATTGTAAAAATCCAATATCTTTTAATAAATTTCTCTTTTCAACAGTCATTTATCTCTATGATAAATTATCACAAAGATTTTTTTACCCCTTCAAACGCCATCTATCGGTTCGTTTAAAGACTTGGAAAAAGATATATATATATAAATAGCTAATCATTCCAGCCAGATAACTGTAACATACGGAGCTTCGTAAGATTGATTGCCCCATGATATTGTATATTTTTAAAAAAGAGAAAGAAAGAAAGAAGAATGGGAGGGGAGGAAATAGCAAAGAATATCTAATACTAAAATTATCGACTGGCCGTTAATATACTTTTACAAAATATAAAACAATAGTATAATACGGAAATTGATGTACTTTTATAAAAGATATAAATAAATGAAACTTTAAAGAAAAACGTAATAATTTTTAATTAATCCAAAAAACTTTTCCATTTTTGGACAAATTTTGTTTTTTAAAAAAAAAAAAAGACACAACAGAAAGATAGTTTATTTCCAATTAGAAATTTGTTAGAAATTAAACAATGAAAATGAGCACTTTCTATAAAAATATCCATTTGAATGCTTAATAAAAATGTATGTACATCTAAAAGGAAAGGAAATCAATATAAATTGGGTATTGTAACTATTTTTATCTTTATAATTATATAATCCTTTGCCTACCGAAAGTCGCAAGAGCATAATTGATCCTTATGTAAACTATCAAGCTAAATTAGTAAAACTGCTTCCTAAGGCACATCTTTAGCGATACGGAGTAAAGGAGATTGATAGATAGATAGATACGTTGTAGTAAACAAACTCTACGCAGTTGTATTCTCCTTCAGCTTTTTACTATTTACAAACAAAAGAAGTGAATCTAATGGAATGAATATCTTTATCTCTCTCCGCTCTTCTCGATAACCTCTTCAAGAGAAAGTTGAATATTCTCATTGTCTATATAGTTGTACATTTGTATACTCTGCGCAGATGGTATATACTGTTTATTGTCTATTGTTTTCTTTCGTCTCTATGCTCTTCTATTATAGGAAAGTAAAATATATAGTCTCTTAAATTAGATAACACGCAAGATAAAGCGCAAGAAATATAAACTGGCCATTGAAACAAACAATAGTTTGCAAAGAGTGGATGACCTTTTTTTTCCCACTTGAATTCGATACAATATAGTTTTTATTAGTACATAAACGATAAGAAGGTCTTCGTTGGAAATATCTCACGCTTAATTTGGATATAGCACCGTGAGAACTGTAATCTTTATATTTAAAATACATCTATTCCTGGTAAATATTTAAAAAAAAATGAGAGGCATAGCAATTATACTAAGCAATTAACTTTGATTAACCTTTGGCGTAACACTACTCATTGAATGCAAAAAATTCACAGGAGGAGCAGAAAAAGAGAAGGCAATGGGTTGGGAAGGTCGAAGAAGACTCGTTTAAAAATAAGAATAAATCATTGGGAAAGTAAGAAGCTTACGCAAGGGTCGGTTTTGGCATATCTTATTAGAAACTGAAATAGAATTGAATCCGCTTATTTCGATAACGTCATTAGTAGATAAAAATATGGTTCATCGACCTTTAACCTCTTTCCTCAACTTTTCCCTTTGACTTTTTACATAATTTACACAATACATAATTCATCTACATTCTATAGGCTTTAATTATCCTTTAAAGAATGAATAATGTAAAAAATCTAATAAATATGAAATTATAAACACTAAACTGAAAAGAGTACTCGTCTAATGATGTATTTTTAATAGTGTTAAAGAATTAGGAAAGAGAGGGAGAAGGGGAGAGAGTGAGAGAGTAAGAGATTGCAAAAAGATTTAAATATCTTGCTATCAACACTCTGATAATTGCAGATAACTAAATTAACAGAATTTACTATAAGAAGACAGTTAAATTAATAAAGTTTTAGGAGAGAAATCTCTCGTGTTATTTAGCAGAGGAGAAGGAAATGAATCGGTTACACGGTATCGTTACTCATTTATTCGACTTTTCTGCCATAAACTTCGAGACAATTTCGTGTACCTAGTGCAGTTCTCTCAACCATAATATCTACTGTTCTGCTAACAAACATCCGCTTTTAACGGACTGCAAGGATTCAGATCATGAAAAACATCCTTATTGGGTAAACAAGACAGTAATTATCAAACACTTTTAACTTATCCAGAAGAAATTGGACATGTCTAAATCCGGATAGAATAAATGACTAGTTTTGTAGTAGAAGAAAATAGGAAGAGAACATGGAAACGAAAGAAAATCGAAGGAAAAGGATATAAAAAAAACTAGACAGTTAAATATAAGAAGGGTGGCCTTCCTAAATTCTAATTATTCCCTTCTAACTGCAACAAATGGTTGAAATAAAAATAAAAATTATCGTTCCAAACGGTAATAAATAAATGAATTAGCCGCAATAATTTTTTCTATTTAATAAATATAGAATAATCCAGTTGGGGGCGCTGGGCTATGGGTAAAGAGAAGAGGGAACGAGTTGAGGAGTAAAAGCGAGAGAGTGTGTATGCTTGTTTTCTTTTTTATCGTGCAATACAAATATTGATAAAGAGGAAGAGGAGGAGGAAAAGTTAGCGGAAGAGGAAAAGAAACCGAGAGGAAGCTAGATCAAGTATTTTGACAGATCGAAACAAATCGCGAAGACCCAAAAGAGAGAAAGGAGAGAGGATAGGGAAAGCAAACAACTGTTAAGCGTATACGCGTATATACGTATTTGTTCAAATACATTTAATTCTCATTTCTCAAGAGAGAATACAGAGAGGGATAGGAAGAGATAGATAAATTTAACGAAGAGTTAAAAAGAGAGAGAGAGCTTTCAGTAAGTATAATTTAGCATATACCGTATAAGTAAATTAAACAAACATCTTTCATAAGAGTTTTTTACTTTCCTTTTACTTTAAATGTTCTTAGGATATTTATTATTACCTAATCTCTTTATTATATTTAATAAATTACAACCAATATCACAAAGGACTGCTACACGTTGTATTAAAAGATAAATATATAAAAAACAAATGTATAAATAAGAAGAAGAAGAAGTTTTTTTAATTTACTATTATTGTTTATTGAAAACATATGGTAACAATTTCAAAAAAAGTTCATCTTTTATATATATAAAACATAACTAGAACTTTTCAACAGTTAAAAAGTAACTTGTAATTAATTGTATTTTAAATATTTGTATATTCTGTATATACTATATACAGAATATACTAATATACATACAGTATATATTAATATTAGTACAGTATATATCACTTCATTTACGATATAAATATACAACTTTATATAAAGAAACCCTTTTGCTAATTGTAAATATACTGTATATATATATATATAGATATAGATATATTAAAGATTATAATATAGATTATATTTTATTTATAGCAGATTAAATGCTTTATAAGATGCTAATTATAATTTCCCTTGATAAATAGAATCCATTTTTTTAATATTTAAAAAAGAAAGATACTCATTGTAACGACTTATTTCCATCTTTCATATATTAATATATATATATATATATGTATATACACACACACACACATTCTCTCTCACTCCCTCTCTCTTTCTTCTTCTCCTACTATATACACCCTTATCTTTATCTGTATACCTATCCATCCGTATATTTACCTAATTTCCTCCACAATAATTTAGATTGAGTTCATTTTTTATAAATCATCTTGTAATAAAAGTTACTTTAGTGCTATTATAGTAGTCTAGCAGATGACGTTTATAAATATAGAAATAGATACTATGCTTGTAAATAGAATATTTAATTAAGCTAAAAATGTTGAGATTAATATAGAATTTAAGCATTTAATTTCTTATACAAATTTAGTATTTTTAAACTTTTTTGCGTCTATTCACTAATTAATTTTCTCTTTTTATTTAATTCAATTAATATTTCTCTATTCGCATTACAGGCTAAGAGTCAAAGTCCCCAAAGGCGTTGATCCTCTATGAAATATCACAAAATCAGTCCTAATTACTTTATAACCGAGCCTGGATCACACTGTTAACTTACTCCCTCATCTTTCCTTTCCTACGTCATCTTATAGAGAGAAGACCTCTGCTTATTTTCCTGTCGGCAGCCACTGAAAAGTTTTTTTTTATTTGGCAGGTATTATATTTTTATTACTTTCTTGTAAACTCTCGCTGTATAAACACATACAGTTCAACATTCTTTTCTTTCTCTATTTATGCTTTTACTTTGTTTATCGCCAATTTAATTGACTGAGTTAGCGTAGAAAAATTCTTCTTCTTAATCGTTTTATTGAATGAACGCCGAGTTTGACGAAAGAAAAGTAAAAAAAATAGCTGAAAATGAATTAATAAAGAGTAAAAAAATGGACAAACATCCATATAAATAAGTATATTATCGTCGCGTCTTTTTTACTTATTTCATAGTTGACTTCTTACGAAGTTTGCATGACAAATATAAATTGAAT